ACCCAACCAAGCCGAGAAAAATTTTTCGGCCTAAGAAGCCCCGGAGTGACTCGGGACCAAGCGCATTCGATTTATCGCCCGAAAGTACCTAATAATCAATACCCATGACGGCACAGGTTTTCTCACGTCAAAATTGGGAAAAAATGGGCCCAAAACATCCCTAAAATCCCACAAAAGGCCCATTTTTCGATCAATGAAGCTTCAAACCGATTCGGGACCCTGCTCAATCGATTCCTGGTCCAAAAATACGTAGATTTCATCATACATGTACCATTTTGCATATGCGCAACCCATCGGAATTGAATCATTGATCGTTTTTGAAGGCCATTTTAGCGCCAAAAACACAAAAATCGATTTTATTTTCGAAGAGCTCGATAGAATATTTTCATTTTAGGCTTAAATGACTGTGTATGCATCCTACTTCAAGATCCCGAAGGAATTTTGAGTGGGCAACACTATTTTATTTACCTCCCTCTGAAACGAACCGTGGCCTAGGAAAATCTGAGGAGAAATTTTCATAAATTTTCCTGAAAATTCGTGATTTTTCGAAGGAAATTTGGCAACGCCTGATGGTACTTACGACGTTCTTACTTTGCAAGGCAGTATAGGGATGAAACTTAGAATGTCGGACAAGAAGGAAGTCTATAATTCTAACAACGATCATGACGGGTTTCCAGCTGAGCTTAAAACTCAAGTCTCTGCCACATGGAGACGTTAATTTTAACGGGCTCGACAATTTTTTTATGCTTTGGGAGTGCAACAGTTCCTGTTTCTCCATGCTTTTAAGCGCCGGAAACTAGAACGAAAAAATCCGCGAACACACTTCCAGGAACCTTCTTAATGGTTCTTTAAAGTTCGAACAGTAACTTCGCATCTGCACGCGCCTGTATGTTTCCCTATTGAGATTTCTCGGAAAAGTAGATTTCATCCGGACTCTTCCTTAGTTCAGAATTTTCCCCTTAAAAGGTCATTTCGGGGCCGCACGTGAATTTATTAAGGCATTTTCTGGGATTTCGAGTTTTTGTGCTAACTCTTTAACATTTCTTACTCTTAAAATGTCCTTAACGGTGTTCATCCGCGATCAAGCTAATGTCGAATAAAATGCCATTTCAAAGGCTTTGGAGATGTGCCGAGAAAATCCATCGGTTCCGGGTAGTGACAGCAAAGACGGGAGTTTTCCGAGAAGGCGGGAGAGTCAACATTGCCCTATAAATTAAGGACATAATTCAGGATTATCCTTTTTAATCTCTCCAAGCATTAGCAGGACTTTGCGGCGGGGCATTTGAGGTATCGGTGACATTGAAATGGATCACATACCCGCAACACCTTTGCACACATTTTCAAGAGCGAAATCGAGTCATTCTCTGCAGAAATGGCGTTTAAGTTTTGGAGTGATAAGAGACAATGCCTTTTTGAGACCCCGTACTGTTGTCCTCCCTACAGTATAGAAGTCGCTGTCGAAAGTCAATGCTCAAATTCGCCCAATGATGACTGATGAACAGAGAGATGAGCAATTTCTATAGCCATCCGAAACTAATTTGTTAAATCTCGCGTAAGAAAGTGCTCATTCCGACATTCATCAGTCATCATAGGCCATACTGGGGAAAAAACACATTGGATCTAGAGTCCAGACTCTTGAAAACATTGACAATAAGTTGCACATCATTGCATATCATCACCAGGCGAAAACTAGAGTTAATCTCGCAACTGTCTGCCTCTCTTGATCACATTGCTTAGATAGTTACGTAGTGCGGGGCCTCTGGAATATGTTTCCTATAGGGGTGTTGCTCAGAATGTGCAAATAAGTACATCCTTTGCAGCCGAACCAATTGAAAGGCCCTCAAGAATTTCCCACCAAAAATCCGCCGTATTTTGCTTCTTTTTTTTCTCATTCCGACCCGTAAATCCGGAAATTATCTGATTATAACGGAGAGTCGCGTTGTAATGTAATTCTTTGTTAGCCTTTGTAATGTAGACTAGTTTAAAAAAACTGGAAGAAACTTTTAAAGACGAGGAGAATACAGTTTTTTGAAGGAACTGTTTTTAGAACTTTCAGAGAAATGTCATGGACACTTGGTTGGGTAACGTCGAGGAAATTAAACATGGCTCACTCGTCGTTTTACTCATGAAAGAACGTAATTGCATACCAGTATTGCCAAACTTCCCCTCATAAATTGAATTGTTATCCGGTGAATCCTAGGCATCTCCAACGAAAAATTTCACTGATTTCTCCTCAGATCTCATGATTTAATCAACAAAATTCGTGCCAAAATTGCACAGGTACTATTTCGTAAAAAAAATTAATCGTTTAAATCCATTTGGCAACCTTGGAATTGAGTTACGTTCCTTCGTCCAGGATTCGACGAATAGTCAAGCGCGTTTTAAGCCTTCCATCGTTCCATCCAAATTTGTTTGCTGCAAAGAGGAAAATGGCACCGTTCATTATGTATGTCTGTACCTCAATACTCTGTTGCTTTGTCGATTTTCCTTAATTTACTTGTTACGTAAGTTCTAAAGACCGCAATAAAATTGACATTTTTGTACCCTTGTTTCAGATTCTGATACAGCAGCGTCCCGCTAAAGCTGGGTTGGGGGCAGAGGGCTCTGCGCCGACTAAGTTGTTGGATCCTAAGGAGGAGAAGAAACAGGAATTGTGGCGTAAAACACAGCAAAGGTTCAAAAAGCTGAAGTAGTCCCTCTCCTTTCTATTGAAATATCACGTTTCTGTGGCTGTGAATGATTACTGGGTAAGTGAAGAATTGCATTTTGTCATTCGATTACCAGTGCCTTACTCTGATCTGCTTCCGAAAAGAGCATTTGCGATTCTTGAAAGTTGGCAGGACTGCTTTTCCTGCATTTAAATGGATGTAAAACCATCGATCCTTGGCGAGGCATCGCCTATAATCGATATTTTCAATGGATTTTAATGGAAGAGAAACAGTGTTGCCAACGTGCAAAATCGCTTCTATCTGCCTCTGAAGGAACTAGTATGTGAAAATTTGTTTACATACTGCTCTCTAAAAGATTTATGAAAAATGATCTAACTTTTTCTTATCCTTTGGGTTAGTCCTTTTTTCCCATCGTATTTTAAAGGTTAAAAATTGAGATTTTCCCCGAATCTCAGCAAAATCATAGAAAATCCCCAACTCCTTTTGAAAAGGTCCACTTGACAGGACAGGTCCACAACTCCACAATGGCGTGAATTGTGCGGCGTGAACTTGCAATGGTCTGCTCTATACTGCTAGTGAGATTTGGAAGAAAAGTTAAAAAAGAAGGTTGGATTACGTCTTTCCCATCTTCGGCTGTATAATATATAATAATAGTATATAATATAATATATAATAATAATATAGTATATTTTTATTTGTAAGTGCACATTTTTTACACAATTTTTTCACTGTGTTGCTCACGTAGCCCTCGAAGCACCACTACAAATAATAAAAACAGAACTAACACAATACGGAAATAGAGCAAGAGAAAGGACGCGTATTGACGACGGCGCAGAGATACAACTATTCGTGCTTGATCGATGTCCGTGTTGTATCTGCAAAATTGAAGGCGCGATGGCGCGAGTTGTGAATTAGCGATGTTCCGCAGCTCCTCTTTATGATGCTAATGAGGTGTCGCTCAGATTCCGGAGAAAAAGAAAAAGACGAGGCCCAATTATACGTCTCTCATAATCACTGCTGTGTTGTTCATACAACCTTAGAAGCACCACTACGAATACAAATAAGGAAAACTGGAACAAACCTAGTGTGGACATAGAGCAAGGGAAAAAAGGCGCGATGATGACGGCGCAGAGATACAACTATTCGTACTCGATGGATGTCCGTGTTGTATCTGCAAAATTGAAGGCGCGATGGCTCGAGGCGTGTACTTGCAATGATTCGCATCATGCTGCCAATTAGGTATCACTTAGATTCGAGGAAATCTAAAAACGTAGGCTTCTTCATGTCCCTTCAATCATCCGCTGTGTTGCTCACATAGCCCTCGAAGTATTACTCCGAATAAGATTTACGGAACCTACAAAACATGGAAATAGAGCGAGAGAATATATGCGCGATGATGACGGCGCAGAGATACAACTATTCGTACTTGATGGATGTCCGTGTTGTATCTGCAAAATTGAAGGCGCGATGGCGCCAGGCGTGAACTTTCGATGCTCCGTTCTACGCTGTCAGATGTGTTCCGGGAGAAAAGTTAAAAGCGAGGCCCGAATACGTCTAGATACGTCTATTCTATCTTCGGCTCTGTTCACACTCGAATCATTCATCTCTTCTATTTGATGTCTGATTCTTGTTCAGGATGTATTTGCAGAGCTAAATTTTAGGCTCGTATTTACCGGTCCCCTACAACCCATGGGACTTGTGTTTTAAGCAAGCCTAGGGTCACTTTGACCCGACTTTAACAGCTAAGGGTTAATGAATTTATCATTAAAATGATTGCTTTTCGTTCGCCAAAAACTCAAAACTCACAACAGCGCAGCCAAAAGAAGCCATTCGCAGCCAGTCAGTGAATTTCAATACAATTTTAGTTATGTTTCATCTCTCATAACTGGGCTCCAATCGTTCGGTCACGTCTAAATACATGGTCATTGGCAACACAATGATTGTTGAATGGGATTTGCTGCTTTAGATCTCTGATTCGTTTAAAATATTTGTATTTCTATTTCTATCTCTTTATTTTTATTTTTCTTACTGAGCATACCATGTCTCTACTTCAAAATTTCACCTTGTACTTTTTAGATTGAATGATTCATTCTTCGATTAGGTTAAAAAGATCTTTTCAGCTGACATATTTCTGTGCGAAAATGATCGGGATGATTCGAAAATTCATCTTTTTCAGACTAATAGTTTTTTAAAATCAGTATTATAGTTTACAAGCTCTGGCTCGGTTCTTCTGGAAATAATGATTCATGAATGCGTCTAGCACCTAGCTTAGATTTGTTCTTTTTTGTTTTGTTTTTTTTTTTGTTTTTTGTTTTTTTTTTAAGTATTTCACAAGTCTTCCGGTAGCCCTCGTAGCCGGCTAAAAGGTCTGCACCCTGAGATGAGCCATTCCGGCCCTAATTCCTTTGCGTTCAAACGTCATTAAATTGTGTCGCTTCAGAAATTTCATATTTATTTTTCGTGTGGTTTTTCAGTCAAATTTGCTGTTCATCTCACCTATTGGGCTATCTGTGGTGTTCCTATGCTTGTCTTGCTGCTGTTCTAAGATACCGATGACGTCGCTGAAAGAATTTTCCCGTAGCCGGGCTCGGTTTTGATAGGCTGCGTAACCACGCTGATTTTAGTTTTATTCAATCAATTGTTGAACTGTGTTGAAATTAAGTTTAATTCCAACTTGTAATGAGATGGCTAAAGTCTACATCGGAAACAGGAGAAAACCTTCAGGGCAAAACCTTTAATTTTTTAAATAGTTTTACGTTATATTGTCATTCTTCCTCATATCAGTTTTTTAGCGCAAGAAAATTAGAAAATCCCTTCAAGTTGATCGACTGATTACTGAATTTTTTACGTTTTTTTGCGTATGTACCAGGTACCTAACATATTTCGTCGCTTTTCGATTTTATTAAAGAGTCATTTATTGTCATTCTTTCTTTTAAGAGAGAGATATAGGTGAAAAATTTTAGTTCTAGCCCATTATCTATGGTTGCCCTCATTTTTAGCTGTGATCAACCGATTGAGAATTCAGACTGTTCCTTTCGCCGGCTGACGTAGCAAAAAAAAATAAATAAATAAAAAAACAGCCGAGAGTATTTCTTTATAGCTGTGTATTGTTTTACCAATAATTTTAACTTTTTCCAACTATCTCAGAGTATCACATATGAGAAACTCGTCAGTGAACTTTACCAAAAAACGTAGTGATAGCTAGAAAAAGTAAAAAATATTGGTAAAAAAAACGGCAATCTCTCGCGTAAAGAAGAGTGCTGGTATTTGCTTGCAATCATTTTCGAACGGTGAAAAGATAAATTTTAGTACCCCGCAAAATTCGACTTATGAAGTCGCCAATCTAATATGTGCTCTCGCCATGTACTGCTTTTAATTAAGGAGCTTGGAGGAGGAATGGGCGCATAAGTGCAGTTTTTGCTATCTCGAGAAATACGTGTTTGGAGTTTCGAAATTACACGGATCCTTATGACCCGAAAGATTGTTCGAACTGACTTTTAGATGCTTAGACATTGGAGTTTGGAAACGAATTTTTCACAGACACGGGAAAAAAACCGCTTGGATCTAGAGTCCAGACTCTTGAAAACAATGACAAGAAAAATACTCTTGATTCAATCGGAATTTTACTTGAATCAAAAGGAAATCCGCTTAATTTAAGAGGCTGGGTTCTTGATTTAAGCAAAAATCCGATTGAATCAAGAGTATTTTTTCTTTTCAATGTTTTCAAGAGTCTGAACTCTAGATCCAAGCGGTTTTTTTCCAGTGGAATATGCATTAAGACGCGGCTTTTACTAAAAATCATTAATTTCTCAATTTTTTCAATAAGTGCACGCATGCGCCTAGTCCTCCAAGCCCCTCAATTCTTCTTTATTTTTTTGTTAATTTTTTGGTAAATTGCTATGAAATAGAGTTATTTGATCATGAGGTATGAAAAAGAGAGAAAACAACAGCTTAAAACGTCAAGCCTATAGATTAGCGTGGCTACAAATATATTGTCTCTCTAATTTTGCGGTAAATGACGTCAAACATAGTTTGGAATCATACCCTGCTCATTTCTACAATCACGAACATTCCATATCCCACGAGTAGTTTTGTGGATATCCATCTAATCCACGCGAAAACTGCGCCTTAGTTTTCCGCATTATCTGTGGAAGAAACCATTCCACGTTTCCAGCTGTGCAGAATGTTATTTACTCTCGGGAATTAAAGTATCTCGTGGAAGTTGAGCACCGGTAATGGAAATTCGCGGGAATATTCGCGACTGTTTGTTTTTCACATGAATTTTTCCCTCCCTATTTCTTTAAGATTCACCTTATACAGCCCCTCAAATGCTACGGATTAAGCTATACTTCAACTAGGACGATGATGATTTTTGCTACAAACTGTCTTTTCACCAAGTGTTCAAGTATGAAAATTGTTTAATTGTTATCAACTTTCTTTTATTGATTAACGTATCTACCAATCTTAGTTTAATTGATACCAATGTGTAACTTATTTTCGTTAGTGTTATGTGCTCGCCTTGTCTGCCACCTAGTTTTCGTTACTTCATTTTTTGTTCAAATAAATTTGAAAAAATTTAAAAACTGGTAGTTTTTTTCTGCTCTCAAAAACAACCTGTTCATCGATCTTTGCAGTTTCTCAATCCACTGGTACCTGGCGATGCGTGTGAACCATTTCTTTTGATGATTTAGTCAACCAACTTAGTCTGATTCGCTTCCTTGTTTCCAATTTTCCCCCCCAATTTTGTTGGAATTTCACTCAGCCAGAACTTTGTAGATAACTAATTTTCCGTTTCGACAAAAATCAAGCTTCATATTGCCGGAAAAGCGGGCAAAAACGTGATTTTTTTTGAGTTTCCCGGAAAATTTACAAGGCGGATTGAACTTTGATTCAGCGACCAAAAATACACAAGAGCAACATTTAACCTCTTCTGACCTCTTTCTTTCATACAATCTCGCATCAATTCTTGAGATCAATTTTGTTGGTATTATACCCACCCAGAACTTTGATCATGACTAATTGTCGATTCCGACCAAAATTAAGGTTCATGTAGTCGGAAAAGTGGGGACATGATGGGACAGTGGGACACATTGGCAGAATTCCGGCTTTACCGGCAAATGCACCATGGAGATTTGGTCGAAAACGTCAAATTCGGATTCAGCGACCAAAAATACTGACCTCTTTCTCACACTCATAACCACCATTTGAGATCCATTGGTACTGGGCTACTATAGTTCTGCCTCTGCTCAACTAAAAACTACGCACGAAGAGTTCTACCCTACATAGGAAGAGTGCCGCATGAGCTTTTGAGGGTTGCATAATTTCTTCACAGAAAATATTTACTTCAGAAGAAAGTTATGAATATTTTTCCTTCAAATTTTCAGACTTTCTACATCAAATTACTAACGATATTTCCTGAAAAATCGGAAGGGATATATTCACAAATTTCCCTGAAAATTCGTGATTTGCCATTAATAATGATAGCTCATATCATCGTCTCCTCCATGAATAAACGTAACTACATCCTTATGTTGCCAAATTTTTCGTTGGGAATTGCATTTTTAGGAAGAGAATGGAGATGTTGCATGTGTGAGAAATTTGCGATTTGACTGTTGCTTCTGACGTAAAAGTTCGCGAGAAACACGATGGTGTCACTGGTTTTCTCTGAAATCAACTCCCAATCTCGAAAAAAGCTCTCAAGTTGAGGCCAAAATGGAGGGGATATCCCACGCTATCCTGAGAGTCCACCTTTACATCAAAACAAACTCTCCATGCAAAGATAGGGAGCAAATACATTAGCAGTGATGCCGTGTTTTCAATTTTAGAGTCCCCAAATAAAGTGGCAGCCCTGTCAATGTATTTGCTCCCTATCTTTGCACGGAGAGTTTGTTTTGATGTAAAGGTGGACTCTCAGGATAGCGTGGGATATCTCCCCATTTTAATCTCAACTTGAGAGCTTTTTTTGAGCTTGGGGGTTGATTTCAGAGAAAACCAGTGGCACCATCGTGTTTCTCCCATACCTTTACGTAAGAATCAATAGTCAAATCGTAAATTCCTCACACATGCAACATCTCCATTAACGGCATTTCTACTGAACTGAAACTGTAAATTTCCCTGATTTTTCTGTTATGATCCCACGCAAAAATCAGATTAATTTAGGGAAGAATTGCATCGGTACATGTTTAGGAAAAATTGAATTGTTTGAGTCACTTTTGCAACCTCGGAATGAAGTTACGTCCTTTCGTCCGGGGAACGACAATATGACGTTCTTCCTTGGCACGGAAGAGTTCTGCCGTGCCAAGGAAAAACGCCGTATGAACCTTCAGGCGTTGCCAAATTTATTTTGATAGAACAGAAATCTCCCGGTAAACTTATGAATATTTTTCTTCCAATTTTTCAGATAATTTTGTTCGTAATTCCACCTGCAGTTCCTGAAAAATTCAAGGAAAAACACTCATAACTTTTCTCAAATATAAACATTTTATCGAAGGAAACTTGGCAACTCTCGGATGTTCATACGGCGTTCTTCCTTATCACGGCAGAGTTGGCAACCGGTGCTCGGCGAGAGCACCTCGGAGATGAGTCAAATCGGAACTTTCCAGGGCAGACGCTGTTTGTCAGCGGCGGCGGTGGCGTCGCGACGACGAAGTTCATCGACCATGGACGGCGACGCCGAGGCAGACGGTGGCGAAGAAACAAACAGGACGTGGAGCGGCAGGTGAGCCAGGTGCGAAAATTCCCTCCGGACTCCGGGTCAACCGGGATCGCCGCGGCGGGATCCTGGACGGAGCAGACGAAATCGCGAGACGCGGCCCAGACGCTCGCCGATAATTAAGGCCGCTATTGTGCCGGGGCCCTCTCCCGAGTTTTTCGGCCCGAGGGCCCCCGCCGGCCCCGGCCTTCGCCCGTCTCCGGGCCTGTCTGCCGCGACGAGACGTCGGGAACCATGTTGCGCCGCCGAGCCGTGAAATTTTAATCAAATTCAGCCCTTTGAGACTCTATTTTTGAGGTATCACGGAAGTTGTAGAATTCCTCGTAATTTTTTTTTAAATTATTACAAAATTTTGCAAATTGCATGTTATTTTTGGTACATTTTGGACACTGCCACAGAGTTACCCTTTGAGACTCTATTTTTGAGATATCACGGAAGTTATGGAATTTCACGTAATTTTTTTTAAATTTGTACAAAATTTTGCAAATTGCATGTAATTTTTTGTACATTTTGGACACTGCCACAGAGTCACCCTTTGAGACTCTATTTTTGAGGTATCACGGAAGTTATGGAATTTCACGTAATTTTTTTTCAAATTATTACAAAATTTTGCAAATTGCATGTTATTTTTGGTACATTTTGGACACTGCCACAGAGTTACCCTTTGAGACTCAATTTTTGAGATATCACTGAAGTTATGGAATTTCACGTAATTTTTTTTTAAATTTTCACAAAATTTTGCAAATTGCATGTAATTTTTGTACATTTTGGACACTGCTACAGAGTTACTAAAGGTCTGGAAAACCAGGAAAGTTAGGGAAAGTCAGGAAATTTTGCGAGGTGCGTTTACTAGAAGTGAGTGTAATTTAAAGGGGAAAAACCAAAGTGGGAGTTCCATTCGAAAGTCAGGAAATCCGAAAATTTCGTCCAAAAATGTATCCTCTAAAACCACTGAGATCAACTTTAAAAAGTGGGCTCCGCGCCACAATTTTGAAATCACTGCATCAGAAGAAAAAAGAGCAGGCAATTTTGACGTAAATCGATACCATATTTATGTGAGATTTTTTGCACTTATCGCAGACACTACTAGTGCTGAATGCATATTTATGAATCCTCTAAAATTCATTGAGATCAACTTTGAAAAGTAGGGTTCCCTTCACAATTTGGATATTACTGCATCAAAATAAGAAAGAGCCGAAAATGTTGAGCTGAATGTGTGTTCCCTTAAAATCCAAAATCAGCCCATCCTCGTCCAGAGTAAGTCCAAAGTTTGGGGACCGAGGCGTTCTTGATAAAATGGTGGGACTTTGAAGTTACCTCGAATGGATCACTAGATAAGGTACGAATTTAAGCATTCTGATACATACATCCTAACAAAAATTTTACGTATAACATGATTCGCGCAACGAAAATTACTGAAACCAACTCCTGACGGAGATATTGACGTTTTTATTTCACATTGGTCACGAGGAATTTGAACTGCCCGCTTACAAGAAACTCAAAGCTCTACGTGAGTCAAATCGCGCACTACAACGGTTTCAACGAGCTTCTTAATCAAGTAATGTTCATTTCCCACCATGTGTTGTTCAAACTATGAGCAATTTGCTAAATCTAAGCCAAAGCGTCAAGATTGAGGTTGTCAGATTTTTATATCGCAGAGACTGTCATGATAACGTTCAGCGCGCGATGTGAATCACGTATAGCATTGAGTTTTCATGAGCGGATGGTTTGAATTCACGCATCAAGAATCATTAAATATCTTCGTGAGGAGTTAATGTCGGTAATTTTTGTTATGTGCATAATGTAATGCGCATGTGCGG